TTTTTTGGTTTTTTTTAATGAATTTAGTTCTGTGAGTAAATTTAGTTCAATGCAAAGTGGTTTCTTTCTTGGATAAATTCAACTTGAACTAATGCTGTTTAAAACTTGGAGTTATTATTTGGTTTGCTCTTTTAAACTGGATTCCTACCATGAGTGAATGACACTTTAAGCATTAAATTTTGCTTTTTATACTCTGCCCAAAAAAGAACTTTCAGGTTTTGTTTCCTGTCTGGAGCACCAGAACACTGGAAGCGTCTAATGCCAATGTCAAAGTGCTGCTTAGTGAATCACACGCTTGCCCGATGAGCACAACGCTTGGGAGGCGCGAGTAGGGTAGAACAGACCCACAGTGCCCCACGGTTCTTCCTCCTGAAGTCCCGTGGCCGAGTACACAGACCGTGCGTCTGCAGCGGTGTGTGGTGAGAAAAGGAGGCGATCCTAACAAAGGCTGCGCTTCAGGCTGAAACGTGTAAGAAAGAATTGCCTTGAATGTCCTCGTTAGCAGACAAATGCATAGTTTGCGTATGGGATAACGGTGAGACAAGTTGTGTGTGCTTTTTTTTTTACGTCCAAAATCTTTAGCAGCTACGCAGTCTTTATTCGTCTATACTGGCTGAAGGCCAGATGCAGATGGCTGGGTATACGCAGATAAACAGGTTAGCTGCAAGCTATGTGCTGCGCTCTACAGTGGTGACGTGTGAGCTTTCAGCCTCCCCCCCCACTGAATAACTCCTCCCATCAGGTAAGAGAATATGCTCGAGACAGTTAATGCAGGGTACCGTATGCAGCAAATTCACGCTCTAGTGTGCCCCACGTCCAGATTGTTCATGTTTAAGCAAATGCATCCCTCGATTACAACTTGGGAAGCACAAACCTCTGAACAGCTCCTGTTTTCCTGTTCTTACGTGTTCATGTCCCACGTGGGCTCTTGCAGTGCATATGAAAAACCTGCGTTAGGGATGAGATTCCCCTTAGTTGATGGACAGGGAATTCCCCAAACCCCCCCCCCCCCTTCTTGCCAGTTTATTATCCTGCTGTCTGTGCAGGCCTGGACTGCCCCATCCTCTTGTAGGAGTTTTCAACTTACGCCAGCTCTTCTCTCCCTCAGAACAGCTGCTCACGCCACCGACAACCTCCCATCTGCGAGGCAGGAGAAAACACCCTTGAGAAGGGATGCTGTTTGATCAAATGCCTGCCTTGTTTATTGCTATCTGTTCCCTCTATTTGGCAAAACGCTGTGCGACAAGTACACAGCCTTACCTGCTCCAGTGCACCCACCCTGGAGTGTGGTTTATGCGTGACTTCCTGCGCTGAGCAGCCAGCGTACCCAAAGCATACTATTCCATCTGACGAGAGAGGGGATACTCGGACCTCGCAACAGAAAGAAGTGAACCCAACTCCATTAACTATGGTATAGACCCTTTATTAGTTCAACTTTTATACAAAGTGTACTTCAAAGTGATACAAATAACATTACTGTTTCTTTTACAGACTAGAGATTAAGGTCTGTTAAGCACTGGTTTCTCCTTGTGTCTATAAAGATAGAAAATGTAAATAGATCGGCAGTGAACCATAATGCTGGAAGACAGTTCAATGTTTATTTGTTAATAGAAAGTTGCATAGAATTGTAGGTCTTTATAAAGGCATCTATCTACGTGGTAAGATCTCCCTGACCTACCAGACTTCATCCCATAAGCAGTACGGGAGAAAGGCAAGGCTCGTACTGCTCCTTTTAAATACCATCCGGCGCTCCCACGTACAAGGGCTGTAGGAGAGCACCGTGCCAGAAGCATCCGAGAGGACAGCACGTGGAAAATTTAATTTGCAAGGCTACCCATCTCTATACCTCTTAGGCGCTGTTTGCCACCTGGGATTTATTAATGCATTAAACTTCTTAAAAACACCTAAGAACATCTGAGATAAAAACACTTTTGGCCAGCCAAGATACTTCTTCACTGTATTAGGTATTTCCCTTGACTATGTAATTCCATTCCCTTCTGTGCTGACAAGAAACTCTTGTATATATGTGCTATTAAATTAATCTATCATCTCAGATGAGACTGTTAATCTAGTACTATAACCATACTCATTAAAAACTGCCACCTTAATTAGGAAGTCCAGCAAAATTCTTCCTTGCCACTCCTGCACCTGACTCGGTTCTCAGCTCCGCTCCTCATCTGAACCTACCGGAAGCTCTCCCCCAGGTTACCGTTCCTGTTCCAAATAAAGTAACCCGAGCAGCAATGGTCCATACTGGCCAAGGCCACCAACGATTTTCTGCTTCGGGAGGAGTGCAGGAGAACAGGGAACGCAGCTTTAATGCTGGAGGAAACAATATTTTTGTCTTGAATTTGACTTCTTAAGCGGAGAAGTCAGTTGAAGGAACTAGTTTAAACGTATTTGTAATTGGCCTCTTGGATCTTCAGAATAAATATGTAAATGCTGATTTTCTTTCAAAGACAAACTTACCACTCACTTAATTAGAAAATACTGATTTCTCCTAATACATCCTTAGTGTTATTCTTTTTCACCCAATTTAATGCAGGATAAGGATTTGCTCAACTCCTTGTAATCTCACATACGTTACTTAACAGCCTGCTCTCTCTGAGTTTTGTTTGCGTATCTCCTCGTTTTGGTACGATTACATTTAGTACCCACTTACTTGCGGCTAAAGACTTCATCTGCTTTTAATTCTAATGCTATCTTAACTGTAGCCGTTTACACAGGTAAGCCAGCCGGTACACAGGCCGGTGCAGCTGCATCATTGCTCTCGGGCTGAGGGAAG